CCTTAGTTTCTTTAAATTTTTTACATAAGTTTTCCTTCTGTTTACAAAGCTTCTTTAGTCTATTATTAAACCAGCATTTATTTATTTTGTTTGATGTGTATTTAGTTGGTATATGATTTTCTATAATGCTTTTTAGATGGTTTTTAATGAAATTCCAGAGGTCATCGACTGGTTGGTTAATGTCTTTTTCTAATAAGAATGTTTGTTGAAAGTTTAATGCAGCTTGGTGTAGTTGTGTTAGGTTATATTTATTCCAGAGTAAGATTTTTCTTTTGGGCTTTGAATTGGCTACTGCTTTTATCTCACTGTGTATTTTTATTATCTCATAGTCTGATAGACCAGGGATAATATCATAATCAACTGCTAATCCAGGTCTGTTGGTTAAGAAGAGATCTAATGTGTTGTTTAATCTAGTTGGCTTTTAAATGATTTGATTTAAACTTAGGTTGTGTAAAGTTTCTATGAAAAGCTCATTTATGTTCTTAAGGTTTTGGTGTTTATCTATGGTTATTGTTTTCCAATTTATTTCAGGTAGGTTGAAATCACCCATAATCCAAAAAAACTGCATTTTTATTTGTCTCTTTAAGTGTAGTAATCTGATTACATAGTTCCTGCATGTATTCTAAACTAGAATTTGGTGGTCTGTAAATGCTGCCTATTATTAGGGATGTTAAGGTGGTATTAATTTTACAAAATGTTGATTCTATATTTTTTGAGTTAGGTAAGGTAATTTCTTCTGCTATAAGAGTGTTTTTTATTGTTAAAAGAACTCCCCATGATTATCAGCCCTATCTTTTCTAAAAATTTCATAATTACTATTGAAAATTTCTGCATTATAAATTTCAGGATGTAGCCAAGTTTCTGTTCCTGCAATTATAAGTCTGATTTCTCACATTCTAATGAAATTTCTAAGTCTGCTGTTTTGTTCCTAATGCTTTGAAAATTTATTACTAAGGTTTTAAGGTATTTTGGTATTACTTCTTTAGTAGGTTTGTTTATTGAGACTGTTGTATTAATTTTAGTAGATTTAGGTTTAACAGGAGTGGATCTGGCTAGTAGTTGGTGAGTTTGGTTTGGGATGGTGTTTAGGATGTTGTATGGGTTAGAAGTGTCTGCATCAAAGGAATCAAACAGTCCTGATGTAAACTGAGGTAACCCACACGGTACACAGTGCCATGATGCGTCTTTGTTGCCTAAGGCATAATACACAGGTGTATTCATATGGAGACATGATGCATGGTACCATTCATCGCAGGTGTCACATTGAATGGCTTTCTGTTTCATGGTGCATACTTTTTTGCAGATGTTGCATCTATCTTTAAATCTAGGCCCTGGAAGCATGATTTTTAGATCTAGATCTAGTAATTGAACATCAAAATTAAGAGTACTCTCGTCTCATAATTATTATTTTGCAATTTTTAGATACATAATCTAGAAAGATCTAGCTAATCAATCTATTTAAATGTACATAAGATCATTTAAATCAACATGAATTATTTCGATCTAGTTATTTTGAAACATTATCTCAATGGAAACAAACAGAAATGGCTTTGTTTCATATATTTTCGTGAATCTGAGCGCCTAAAGGCAGCACGGAAAACCAACTCCTAGATACCCCTTCCCCCCCACTGGTCCACAAATGAGATTGGACCAAAGCGCTCTGAGCATGCTTTAAGCATGAACGTAGCGCTATATAAAAGCTATAAATAATAATAATCTCCGAGAAATTATTTTGCATTATTTCTAAACTTTGAAAACTGAAGATCATTACTTTTCTATAAAAAAAAAGTGTTTACGTACATAAAAATTTATATATAGATATGTCTGTGACTCGATCAATCGCGGATAAGAATTTATTTCCGGTTTCCGGTCTAGTATAATATTTAAGTCTATGTACGCCCTACGCCTTTCATGCGTCAATCTAGATCTGTAGATCTATAGGCTAGTAGAGCATATCCACTGGAGCAAATATATTACTGGATCAAGATGGCAACAGCATTTTTTTTTTACTTTTAAAGGACTAATGGTCGATACAAAAATTAAAGAAGTCGCATATCAATATAGAGCTAGAAATTAAGTTATAAGGCTACATGCATGACTAAATTGACACATTTGAAATGCGTAGGACGTAAGCCTAATTATCTTCTCTTTAAAGTAATGTCAGTAATCTATAAGATAAGACTAAATAGCTGTTTGGTTTAATTGAAATTAATGGAGTAAAAACAAACATATTCTGCATTTTACTACTAATTTTGATGTAATACTAAGATCTAGAGCTATATGCATTATTCCCATTAGAAATTTAATTAATACTGTATAGAATTTTAAAAGTTGACTGATCTAAAATCTGTACATCAGTCAAAATATTTGGACAAAGTTTTGATTTTGACTTCAAAGTTTCAAACGTTTCTTCAGTCGTAGCCCAAACTTCTGCAGGACGGCAGGATATTGTAAAGTGTAGGGTTCGAACACTCGTCCTGCACGCATACCTACTATACAACCAGTTGAGAGAGACTAAGATGATGTATTAATCACACATACTTTTAAAATATAGCGAAATTTAACCCTAATATAAGTTTGAATTTATAACCTAACAACCAAAGATTTTATATAGGCTAGACATTTTTAAAATGCTAAAAGCACGGCCGAAACAAAAGTTGAATTGATCGGTTTAAAGATTTAGGTAATACCAAAAAATGAAGAGGAAAATAAGAGTATGTAAACGAAATAATAGATCTATGCATTCTTGCAAACCATATAAATGACATATGTAACAGAAGATAATTACGTCCTACGAGTGTGCATCACTGTGCATGTGGTCATCTAGTGGTGCATGTTAGAGACCTTAACTCTGTTAAGTCGTTGGCTTTCCTAATAAAAAGTGTTTTTAAGTTGTTCTCCAGATTCTAAAAGCTGTTCAAATAGATCGAATAAAAAAATTTTCCATTTTGATTGTTATTGGTAGCACTCTTCCATTTGTGATGCTTAGAAATGTACCATAACGATGTAGGGTTAAATAGTATGAAAGTGCTAGGTTGTGTTGTTTATAGCCGAGATCAGTGATTCTCAAATGTGTCGACAGAAATATTTTAGCTTCATTTAAAGAAAAGTTTAATAAAAAGGTATCAAATACACAAGGGATCAAGACTGACATACGAATGTGTTCAGGAAATAATATTTTCTTTTTCAGAAGAAACATTATTTAAAACATTAAACTTTTGCATATTTTTTTTTTTTTTATTTGTTGTTGCTAGCTGGCCCGGCCTTAGGTAAACTATGCAACCGCCTAGAGACTCCAGTTCAAGAAAAAAATTGAAAATCTTGGATCAAAACATAGAAAGTTCAATGGCTCTATGCCTAGCCGTAAGTCTTTACTATGACTCAGGATTTATTAACAAATGTTTAGATCTACCTGTTAGACTACACTAAGTAGGTTTAAATTGCATAATTTTATTTATTCTGTGTGGGTTTTTTTCTTCTATTTTATCTGGGTCACCAAATTCACTTCGCCTAGGGCCTCCAATTACCTAAAGCTGGCCCTGATGCAAGAAAAGTTCCTCTTGAGATTCGTGAGATATTTGCTTCTAGTTGGACATATCCAACGACCATGGTCATAAAGTAAGTCTCATTTCTCCAAATGACGTGGTTAAAACTAAACTGTCATGACGTTGTGCACAAGCAGCTATTGCCAACACTTCTTATTTCCCAGTTTGAACTTGCTCACCTATTCGTTCGGTAAACGAATAAAGTTTCGGTTTAACAGTGTGACAGCTTGGTTGGTCTACACAGAAGACTAGAATAGACGTGTATATGTCAGCTGGTAGTCAGTCATCCATGCTGTTATAAGACCAAGTAGGTCAGAGTCCAAAGTAGGTCAAAGAGTCCAACATTACGTAGTATGACATCAAAGAATAACCAAATTAAACTTATGAAAGACTCATTATTAGAATTCAACGACCATTACCAAACAAGCAAAAATCTTGTGAAGGGATTTATTCCCCCCCCCCCCTTTTTTTTAATGTGATTTGCGGTGGTACAAAAGGGTAGGGTTGGAATGGGGAATGTAGGCCCAAGATGCAAACTAGCACAAAAAATCGTTAAGGCCTAAATTTAAGAAACTGGTTAAAATGTGAAAGGGATGTAGAGTTAGTGTTAACGCCTCATGCCTGAAGCGTATCTCCCATAGTGAAGTATAAGGTAACGAGAAAGACCCCATGACCGTATCCAACCTATTTCCTTGTATGCTCTCCCCCCTCTTCATGACATCATGCAGCACAGCTGGAGCTGTCCTCTGCTTCCTGTTTCTGTGAAATTTTGGGACGTCAGCTCATCACGTTGTCCAGGTTGAACTCAAAATGTTTCCAACTTATAACTTATAACAAAACAAAGTCCGTAGTAGATGAAGTAATGTACATGTCAAGAAAGTAAAGCTGGTTGATGGCCACATGACACCCCTGCTCGTTAATAGTTGACCAAAGAAACCTTAACATCGTCTGCCCTATAGACCGTTTGGTCTGAAAGGGGAACTTTTTACTCAGTGATGATACAGGTCAGTGATGTTAAATATAATCAGCATTTCGAAAACTAGAGCTTGATATATAATGGTTGCTAGGTAATTATTTCATGAAGCTTTTATATTAATTGGTTTAATGTCACATGATACTAACATTAAAATTGTTTTTAAAATTTGTAATTTAGCAAGTCAATGATATAGTTTCTCACAACAAATATTACTCTTTGAAATAAACAAAAAAATATTTTTTTTGAATGAACCATTCATCTTATATCTGAGTCTTTGTTAATGTTATAGTTTTTGTCAAAGATGTGTCACTTTGTCACATATGATGTCACCAAATGTGTCACTTTGTCACATGATGTCACTAGATGTCAATGAAAGATGTGTCACTTTGTCACATGTGATGTTACCAGATGTCAATGTCTTTGTCACATATTATGTCACAGACTGTCACAGATAATAGTCAAATGAAACAAAAAAGAAATTCCTCAATGTTTAATGGTTCAAAAATCTTCTCCCAGATACCCTCTACCTCTACATATCCACAGACATTGTCCCAAGGTGCACTTGTCATGCTATAGAAGGACACAGAATACAGTATCATAATAGAATCATCAGGCTTACAAAAAAAAATGAAGGCTATGTTACAAGTTACATCTTTTAATTACAAAATAATGTGTACATGACATTCTACTAAGTTTAAAACAACAAATATTTACACAAAGTGTTGAATAGAAAATTCACAGTTAAGAGATGGACAAATATAAAAAGCTCCTCCATCATGGTCAAATATGAACTCATAAATAGCAGTGGAGTCCAAGTTTTGCTTTGAAAAACTGATTACACTTAGGGCAGGAGTATGTTTGGCATATTGTCAGCTATCCTCTTTGCTTTGTAGCTAGTGATACTAAATGAATGTCAATCAACTAAGGTGGATGTCTTGATATTGGAATTAAGTCAACTAAGGTGGATGTCTTAATATTGGAGTTGAGTCAACTAAGGTAGATGTCTGGATATTGGAGTTGAGTCAACTAAGGTGGATGTCTTAATATTGGAGTTGAGTCAACTAAGTTTGATGTCTGGATATTGGAGTTGAGTCAACTAAGGTGGATGTCTTGATATTAGAGTTACGTCAACTAAGGTGAATGTTTTGATATTAGAGTTAAGTCAACTAAGGTGGATGTCTTGATATTGGAGTTGAGTCAACTAAGGTGGATGTCTTGATATTGGAGTTGTCAACTAAGGTGGATGTCTTGATATTGGAGTTGAGTCAACTAAGGTGGATATCTGGATATTGAAGTTGAGTCAACTAAGGTGGATGTCTTAATATTGGAGTTAAGTCAACTAAGTTTGATGTCTGGATATTGGAGTTGTCAACTAAGGTGGATGTCTTGATATTGGAGTTGAGTCAACTAAGGTGGATATCTGGATATTGAAGTTGAGTCAACTAAGGTGGATGTCTTAATATTGGAGTTAAGTCAACTAAGTTTGATGTCTGGATATTGGAGTTGAGTCAACTAAGGTGGATGTCTTGATATTAGAGTTACGTCAACTAAGGTGGATGTTTTGATATTAGAGTTAAGTCAACTAAGGTGGATGTCTTGATATTGGAGTTGAATCAACTAAGGTGGATGTTTTGATATAGAGTTAGGTCAACTAAGGTGGATGTCTTGAAATTGGAGTTGAGTCAACTAAGGTGGATGTTTTGATATTAGAGTTAAGTCAACTAAGGTGGATGTCTTGATATTGGAGTTGAGTCAACTAAGGTGGATGTTTTGATATTAGAGTTAAGTCAACTAAGGTGGATATCTTGATATTATAGTTAAGTCAACTAAGGTGGTTGTCTTGATATTGGAGTTGAGTCAACTAAGGTGGATGTCTTGATATTGGAGTTGAGTCAACTAAGGTGGATGTCTTGATATTGGAGTTGAATCATCTAAGGTGGATGTTTTGATATTGGAGTTGAGTCAACTAAGGTGGATGTCTTGATATTAGAGTTACGTCAACTAAGGTGAATGTTTTGATATTAGAGTTAAGTCAACTAAGGTGGATGTCTTGATATTGGAGTTGAGTCAACTAAGGTGGATGTCTTGATATTGGAGTTGAGTCAACTAAGGTGGATGTCTTGATATTGGAGTTGAATCATCTAAGGTGGATGTTTTGATATTGGAGTTAACTAAGGTGGATGTCTTGATATTGGAGTTGAATAAACTAAGGTGGATGTCTTGATATTGGAGTTGAATAAACTATGGTGGATGTCTTGATATTGGAGTTAAGTCAACTAAGGTGGATGTCTTACACTCTTCTCCAAATGTAGACAAGATAAATGTCTAAGCAAAGTAAAGAAATCTAAATGGGAGGGTTTAAGGTTTAACAATAAAGTCTATAATAAAAATGTTCCTTAAAAATAATGTTCAAATGTTTTAGCCCTCTAAAGTGGTTGAAATTAATGATCCTTGGTATTGAAAAAAGAATTCTCATTTGTTCTAACAGATTAATTTTTTTAAGGCAATTAAATACACTGGACGTAAGCCAAAAATTCATGGCACTGGCCTAATAAAAATATCAAAATAAAACAATGAGCTCATGTGAACTAAAGTACTAAATTAACTAGCTTGCACATATAAAAACATCAAACATTTCTGTATTTCTATGTGCATTCAAAACTATAAAAGATTATATACACAAGTTACAGAATTACTTTTTTTACTTATGATATTTCAATATAAATAAGATGCATGTAAATTAAGGCACATGAATAAAGGTAGTTCATGTTGTTATTTGAAAAAAAAAATATATAATGAACTTTAAATTTACATTTATTTACATCTAGTTTTAAAATTAAGTAATTTTTGGCTGTACAAAAAATATCTTTAAGAAAAAGGTCATATTTTTTTTTTTATTTGAACCATGTTTGTTAAGAGTGATAAAATTCAAAAACTATTTGGAATTTTATAAATGGGACAACATCGATATGCTGTTGCCACAAGGTCACTACAAATAATTAGTTTTAGATTTAGTTCAAGTTAACTTATGTACAAAATCTAAACTATCAGATAAACTTTTGAACAAAGTCTAATGTGAAAAAAATACATTGAGTGAGTTAGATTATTATTTACAATTTAATTTAATTGTAAGTATCACAGTTATGCAAGATTTGTTTGCATGCCCTAATGATCACATATTCAAATCTAGGCAGCAGACTCATATTCATTCAGTAGAGCTTCAATGCTGTCATTCAATGTTTTGCTTGGAGCTGGAGGAGGCAATCCAGACTTGCTATCACCTCGATGACTTAGGTCAAAAGATGTTTTCTTTTTCCTGGCTCTGGAATGAATTTTTTAAATATGTATAGAATTATTTTCTGCATACATACAAGAAACAACTTTGTTTTTAAACTTAACAAGGATTAAAAGAATTACATCTGCTCAGATTCAGTGATTTACTACAATGAGATGAACTACCTTGAAAGCACTTCTAATTTTATGTATTGAAATGCTAACCTTGGTGTTTCTGTGTCTGACTCTTCACCTCCAGATACAAACTTGAGCTCTCCAGATTTAGTTTTAACTGCTGTCACAGTACCTCCACTGCTGACACCTTTTTTAGATGAGCCTAAATCTATAAAGAAAGGACAAAATTAAAAGAACAAATTAAAATATTTCTTTCACACTGAAAACCCTTATTTTTAACATTTGCTTTACAAAAAGACATATCATTTTTAAAATGAATTAGAAACTGTCATTATTATTAAACCATCCATTGACTCCATATTTAATATTAATAATGTCTAGAAATATCTTATTTAATAAGATTCATTTTCTAAACTTCTTATTACAGCCCCTAATGCTCCTGGGTTAGATAATAAAAATAATCTTTATTAGCCATAAGGATATTTATCATACAAATTGTGGGTTACACAAAAGAAAACATTATAACTATAGAAAACCAAAATATACATTCACACTAGACTCACTCATAATTTATTTGTGAAATGTTTATATCAAGAGTTGAATTGCATTTAATGATTTGATTGCCAGGGGAACAGATATATTATATCATGAAATAAAATCTATTTTGTGAATTCAGAGAATAGCTTAATATTAAAATGGACTAACCATCTTCAGTAACATAATTAGCTGGAAAAAATCCTTGCTGACAATCTGGGAGTTCTCCCATCCACCATTTTTCATTATCTTTGTATAAGACTGTGATGATGTCCCCTTTATACAAATTCAATTCATCAGACCGCTGAGCTCTGTAGTCATAGATGGCAATTACCTGAAGGAATACAAAGTAATTTATCACATAAAAATACACAGCTTATTTTCATGGTCAACTGAGATAGAACATGTATGCATCTCAGTTTTAACAAATTAGCCTGAATATCTACATAGCTGTCATCTTATTTTATTTTAGATAAATATTAATTCCTTTTTTTTTAAGACTTAATTAAGTAAAACTTACTTTTAACAATTATTGGTACAATATAAAATATAGAAATGACCAAGATCAGCCTAGTTAATTCATGGTCAGATATTGTCTGTCTTAATAGACCTAGGTAATTCATGGTCAGATATTGTCTGCCTTAGTTGGCCTAGTTAATTCATGATTAGATATTGTTTGTCTTAGAGGGCTTATTTAATTCATGATTAGATATTGTCTGTCTTAGTAGGCCTAGTTAATTCATGATTAGATATTGTCTGTCTTAGTCTAGTTATGATTAATGTTATCTCTGCATTTTACTGTTCTACAAAATTATAGTTAAGCAATTATTTAATTCTTTAAAGAATGCAAAAATTTAAACTTTCAACCAACAATAATGAGAACCAATCTTTAAAAATTTGTTTAAAAAGACATATAATATACAAATTGCTAAGAGCAAGCTTAGATTCAATATTTAATGAATGTTCCAATGTTTCATTCATCTGAATATCATCTTCCCAAATTCCTAGTTGATCTTCTTCACCAGAAGTTTATCAACAAAACTGTGTGACTTCATTGTATTCTAGTTTTAATCATACATCATTTAGCACACAATATGTCACATCAGAATAAAAAAATCAGTTGCACTAAAACTAATACTATATCAATGGACAAAAAGTTTAAATAAATTTCAAACCTTATTGACTCTACTTGTTTTCACAGGAGCCTCAAAAGTAAACTGGGGTTTTCCCAACGACTAAAAATACAAAATGAATCATTTAGAAGAAAAAATAATAAGATATGAGGTAAATTATTGAAACAAAATACAAGCATGATGGTAAAGATGATTTATATAGAGTGTAGACAGATTACAATACAGAGAATCTAGTCAAAAAAAGCTTAATATTGTAGATATCTAGAAACTATAAGAAGAGGTGGAGGTGGCTGAGTAGTACAGATCGGGAACTGACAGGTCTCAGGTTTGAATTTTACTGAAGACTCTGGGATTTGGAATTGGTATGTTGCCCCTAGGCCCACCCAAGCTTCCATGACTACCGGACATACGTTGGTGAAAGTAAAGACAGTTGTCATAGTGATGGCCAAATGAGACCATTGTTAACAGATGACTTTTACATCAAGGTCTGAAAGGGGAACTTCCTCTTTTTTTTAACAAATACATATGGGACAATATGATGTCCACAATTCACTAAATATTTTATTGTAATGTACAATTCTACTGTAATTTATTTTTTTATTTATAAAGTCTATTTTTATCTCAGTCTCTCCATTCATAAAAAATACAGCATTTTGTGAGAGCTGCGACATTCCAACATACATAAGACCAAGGTTAGTAAGAGACAACTTACAGTGCTGAGTGAAAGGTGAGGAGGTCTGCCATAGAATGTTGGACTTGTACTTCTAGCTCCCTGTCTGCTAACTGAAATAAGTGGAACATAATCTTATAAGTTATTCCTTTATTTATTTCAAACTTCAAACATCATTTTTTTTAAATTTAAATCAATATAAACTATCTCTTAACCTTTAAACATACCCCAATCTCAAACCGAGAGCTAAAATAAATGCATGTATATCCTATGATACAAGATGTATAGATATAT